TATGACGCACAATCGCTTAGCCAGCGGATGTGATTCAAACATGCCCGAGTAAACACTTGATTAGGGGCTTACAATGTCAACAAATTGTTTACGATTGCTAAGCGGCTTACATCGGTTGAGACGATCTTTGGCCAACTTACCGATTCAAAACGTCACTAGTGACCAGCCTCTGTAGAGGCCACGCGACCAAGAATCGCTAAGCGCGATAAGGTGTGAATAAATGGATGAATATTAGCGATGAACTAACCTTTGGTAGGTTCCTCTCATTAGCTTGCTTGGCCCAGAGCTGAAAAGCCTTCTGGATCGTTGAGCTGGAATTCGCATGACTCATTCTGATTTTCATTAGAGAACATCTACAATCTCACCGAATAATTGCCTTCGGGATATCATTGGTGTACTCGGAGACGAACCACTTGAGAGACAGCTCGTGCAGACCAGTAAAGTGCTTTTTGTCCCATTTTGACGTACCCGAGAGAGCTGCAGGTGGTTACTTCTCACCATATCACATTATCACATAGCACTTATAGGCAAGTGGCACGATAAATCCCAAGGACGTGCAGGACTAATACGCCTAGGAGGACAAAATTCGGCGCCCCTGAGCAGGCGCTGCGTGGTTCTTTTCCAAGGAAGGGACCCTCATGTCAAGATGCACTATACCGACCCGGACACCCACCGCGCCTGCCCGCCTACAAATGTCCGAGCGGTGCTGACTAGGGCACATCATCGCTCTGGATTCCTGGACAGGAGAAGGGAGTCGTATTTGGTCGCTGGAGGGAGAGGGTGGTATTTGATTCTTCTTGTTTCAGGGACGCTATAAAGGGGAGGGGTGAGGGTCGTATTTGTCTTCTAGCCTTCTGAGTAAGTTTTCTGACTTTTCGTGGTTTTTCCTGTTTCACATGTGCTATATATCCCTGCCCCCCCCCCTTAATTTCGGTGGAAAAAGTAGGGAAATTTTTGAGAAATTCCGGGAAAACTGGAAAAAACTAGTAGGAATTTGGGAAAATATACGAATGTGGTAGGTAGGATGGGGGAGAGAAGGAGTCGTTTTTTCTTAGCGGTTCCCTTTTACATGTGCCGTGCCACCCCTTAGCGGGGGGAGGGGGGGGGGTTTGGGGGATCGTACAAACTGGATGAAAATTCCCAACTAATAATGTGCCCTGATACTGGTGTTTGTCCCGCTTCATTTACGAAGTACAGTATGAAAGGAAGGACATTAATAAGAAGCGGGTGCGGTGCTGCGTGGACATATGGGTGCATACATGCAGCCGTATTTACCGCAGCGGTCATTGGCACGGAATGGATGTCGGCGGAAAACTCGTCCAAAATTGCTTTCTGGTGCAAAAAAGGAACTTTTTGCAGGTTTTTGACCGTTTCACTTCGCTTTTTCGCCATTTTCCCCATCACGCGTCCCTGCTAGCATTTTAGACCAGGTGCTAAATTATCGTGCCTTATGCCTTTAAACTCACCAAATCTTTTCGATCTGCCCGTATCCTTTCTCGTGTCTTTTTGTGAACAGCGCGTCCTCTTCGTTGCTTCCACTGTTTCCGGAGTGAGTTCACCAGTCGGCTCCACCCCTACCACTTCCTGTAAGTGGAGTGTCTGGTTGTGGTTGTTGCTCCTTGACCTTCAGATAAGAGCTTCCGTCCCACCTGGAACAATCGGAGTCCGGTGCGAAATTCGTGTAGACTGGGCGCTGGGCTGTTCAGATAACCGAATCGATGCAGATATCGCTGAAAACGTTCCGAAATTTTGAATGATTGGTTTTCTTCTTGAAGAGAACAATTCAAGGAATCTCCCCTAACTTGTGGCTGGTTGGCCGGCTGGCTGTTCAAAGAGCAAAAACCCCCTACAAGTTTTTCTGCACTTTAATAGAACGAAATGGATTCGCATTTCGCTGCGGGATTGTCTATGGAAAAACCGGCGTTTTTAAGAACTTTAAGTCACACTCTCGACATTTGAATGATCTTCTTACACACTGCAATTGAACGCTGTGGGGTTTTAAACTGTCCAGCACTCTCGCTTTCTCCTTAACTGGAAGCTCGGGGATTGTTCCAGCTGGAGGGTTGTCTGCACAGTAAAAAATGAAAAGGGGGGGGGGGGCTCGTTGGCCAGAGGGAGGGAGCCGCCCAATTTCTGCTCTTCGAAGCATCATAGGGGTTGAGTGTGTGTGTCTAGCACTGTCAGTTGAGTGCCTAGCCCTTCTGGTTTCTCCTTTTTTGGGAATACTAAATAAAAAGAATTTTTCTTGATGATTGACGTACATTCAATAAATAAATGAATAGGACCGGAACTTTCCACCAAGCAGGTACTGTGACTGCTCAGAAAAGGCGCTTGTAGAAGTCAATCGAGCCCAGTCTTTTCAGGCTAAAAGCATGGCTGAGGCACCATCTCGGCGCAGTTTGGCGACGGGGATGGGGGGGGGATGTTGCACATTCGTTGCTTCACTAGTACCGGTTTACAAGTCTCACACTGGTAAACCTGTGAACTCTGTGGAGCTGGAGCAAGCTCGTCAAGCCATCATGGTAAAACCTGTCAACTCGAGAAGAGGCTGTCTAGATGGGTCGACACGTCGATGGGAAGTATAGGAAGTGCAAAATGCCCCTCCCGTCGCGTATTGCGTCCACGATTTCTTCCCCTATGGGAGAAAAACGAGAAGTTCAAAGAGTTGAAGATACTAAGACGTAAGAAACCGAATGGACATATCGTCTCTTTTCGCCAATGCAGGGCATGACGCGTCTCTCTCTCGACCAGTGGTTGTGTGGAGTGTCTTCTCAGTGTAATGAAAAGTCGATCACTCTCAACTACTGTAAACTTCTTCGCTTGTATGCTCTTCATAAGAAACCAACTACGCCAATTAAAAAGCTTCCCCTTCTAAGTAAATGAATGGGGAATCTGTGCGAGAGAGCGAAGTACATAAGAAGTAGTCAATCGAAGTAGTCAGTTGAATGGCCTCGATTTTTGAAAAATTTCTGACAGTATGATGACGGCTGTAGAAAAATTGGATCATGTGAATATCTGGTGGTGGGAGAAATCTAAGAATTACGCACTTGTGACAAAAGAGAACACTTTTTCTGCCCCCTCAATGGCGATTAAATGCGCGAAGTGCGTGTGAATGAAAGGAGAAGAGATGATGATGGAAAGGATGTGCTGTGGGTGGAATCGAGTCAGATATGGTAGCTGATGCAAGCAAAAATCAAGTGATTATTGACGTTTTCGGGCTACAAATCACCAAAAGAACTGGCATTGTGACGGCTGTAAACAATTGAAATCTTAACTGGTTACTACGATAAACAGTAAACTGTAAACAACAGATCGAATACGATGTTGAAGGGGATGGACTCGATCGACGTTGGAAGTGAAAGTAGAAGTTCCATAGTCAGCCAGCGATCATGGTCACGAAACCTGACGACGATACAGCCGCTCAATAGATTCAGCGCCCTGATTTCTACAGTTCGTTTCGAGATTCATTTACATTTCCTCGCGACAAACGCTATTATAAACGCTAAATTAATCCCAAGAGCAGCTCGGACTCACAGAAGGAACCAGGACCGCTTGAGTCATAAAGAGATTCCGGATAGAGAAGAAAAATTGCAAGAGTAAAGGTGGTAAAATTTATAAAAAAAATCAAGAAATACTGTTACCACGAACCACGATCTCGTCAAAGTTTTCGGTAACCAATGGGGCCGGGCGACTAGGAGGCGGCAGGATGAGCAGTAGGAGACAGACCGCCAGAGAGCAGCACATCGCGCGCCACCGCCTGCCCCACCGCCGTACAGCTATGGGCGGACCCGAGCGCCCGATTCATCTACCGTAGGTCAAGCAGGCGGAGCTTCCCGGATTTAGCCAACATGGCTATGCTTCATCTCGAGCTCCTTACTCACAACCCTGAGAGAACCCACTTGGAGAACCTAAAGGATACGTATAAGGACGGGAGATTAATCATCCTCAGGTTCGGGCGTTTCTTAAGAAGTATTAAAGAGTAAAATATGATTTTGTAACAGCTAAAAGTGAGGGATAATGTGACTACGGTATAAAAGATTCTACGAGACTTATCGTACATGGACACATTGCAGGAATCAGCCGCTTGTAGCAGAACTTGATCTCTGAAAGAAATCTTCTAGCATTTTCTTCTGCTAAGTTCTTCAAGAAGTTATTGGGAGATTTTCGATCACTACAAGCTGGAAAAAAACTTGGAAAAATTCTGGCAAAAAAAAGGAATTTCCCAAATACCATGACAACCTGAAAAAAAAGAGTGGCGATTCCTGAACCAATGAAGAACAGGAATACTGTAACGTACTGGTGCGGATATCTAATGTTTGATATCATAAGTTGCAGGTTAATTACTTCCAGCCCAGTCGTGCGCAGCGCTAGACTTTGACCTATCATCGACGAAAACTGTTTATTTGTTTGGTTCGGCCAAGTGGTGCGGTGTAAATCAAATAAATAAGGAAGTTAAGAGCGGGACAAGATTTTTTACCCCATTCACAAGTGGATGAACCTAGTACATCCGTTCAAGTGCAGCTTTCCTTTGCCAGTAGGGCGCACACAGCTTTCCCAAACTCCTAGCCATCTGCTCTTTGGACCGTGAGGTTCAGTGAAATTGGAAGCGGAAGTTGGGAAGGTCTTCTTCAGAGTATCCCTATGATTTTTGAGCAGGCTAGTTCAAAGAGACCATTTGAAGACAGTCCCCGCGCTCGAGCATTTCGTAGACGTCCTCCCTTGTACGGGCAGTTAGGTAACTGGTCTCTCACACAACCACACTTGCTACACAGTAAGCAACTGAGGCGCTGTTGTTCTCGTAAAAGGCAGGTCTGACGCCTCTCTAGTTGTCCCGCCCACCGGAACTGTTTTAATTCAGTTTTGCACCGCATTTCTTCTTTCACTGTTCGATGGTATTGTACTGGATGACGCGAATAAAGGATCAAAGAACAGGAAGGGAGGCAGAATATCCTTTGCTGGCATGAAACAAGCAGGTCCAGAATACTCGTCCAATGAGCTTGGCGGGTCCATACTTAGGGTGGGTGCAGTTCAACGAGGGGATGGGAAGGGTATTTTGCATTTTCGCTGTTTCACTGGTTCCTGTTCCTACCCTTCCTTACTGATGAGCACGGAGGGAGGATACCATGGTTGTCTAGTTTCCGTCTAAGGGCACGTGCGAAACGGAAACTAGACTACTTCCTTGAAATCAATGAAAACAGAAATTATATGCAAGAGAAATTCATTCTATTGAGAATATATTACAGTTTCAAACATTGTAATCATTATAACAAGAATAACTTAAACAATCAAATCAAATCTAAATTACATTATAATTCTCATTCTGATGAAACCTGTAAACTATTGTGAAGGTGGAGCACACTCGTCTTTCCACTACGGTAACACCTGTGAATTCTTGTAAGCCCACGAAATGGTTCTCTAGACGGGTCGACACGTCGATGGGAAGTAGCAGGAGTTCAGAATGTCCTCTCCCCGTCGCCGAATTGCACCCTTAGGGTGTTCTCCAGATTTTTTTTTGCTTTTTTCTTCCCTGGAGACTCACTTGGCGACTGTAGGCCTGCAACTGAACACCATTGTCCACAAACAATGGCTAGGTTTAAAAACAATGGATAGGTTTAACTTTGATTGAATTAACAGCGGTCAGTGCCAGTCCAGTTGCGCGCTAGTTCGCTACGGGGAGGCTTAAGCTTACTCCTGTCAAGAGCTTTAAGCGCTGCAAGGTCCTGAAATCATACTGTAAAGCTACAAGGAGAAGAACAATTGTGACCTCAGGGCCGTCTCTCGCTTGTCGCAGGATGCGAGATCCCATTTTCGCACAATAGGGCGGGGGCCTCTTAGTTATTGGCCTACCCGTGAGCGTAAGGATCCTTCCTTTCTTACCCTGATTCACATAAGAA